CGAGAGACGTCTGCAAGTGACGACAGCTAATCGTGAACTCCTTAACTGCATTTTCCTATACTCTGCCCCATGATCAAGCCTTGTTTTTCTTCATTAACGCGGTCAACGGTGTAGCTATACTAACGTAGTCCTCAATAAATTTCCGGAAATATCCTGCCAGCGCCAAGAATTGTCGCTCATCTCGAACCGTCGAAGGTTTTGGCATAGTAAGTACCGAGAAAATCTTTTGCTGTCCCGACCTACCACCCGTTGCGCTTATTTCCAGTCTCAAGTAATCTATTGTCGTTTTCAGAAACGAGTATTTGCTTAAGGGTCTTTTACCTAAGGATCAAATTAGTCTGTCAAATATTATTGAAAGCTGACAAAAGCTCCTCCAGGACTTTTGCAGAGCAAGGGAAACAAAGGAAAGCTCCATCTCATCATCTTTTCATCTGCTCTTGATAATGTCAGCTAAAGACATTCCAGAACCTCCGCAACGGGTTTCCACGGAATAATTACATCATCGATATATGTGAATGCGGTAGAATTAGGCAGAGAGCCTGATGGAGAATTGAAAACAAAATTCGTAATATCCGTCGGGGTTAACGAAAGCGGCCAACGCGACAGATTCTTCTCTCATTACTACTTGATAATAGCCTGAAGCCAGGTCTATTGTAGAAAAATACTTCTTATCTACCAATTTGATTCGATCCTTTGTCAACGATAATGGCTGTCATTCAAACGTCAACCTCTCGTTTTTCTCCGCAGTTAATATCACACAATTCTTCTATCACGATTTCATTTCGTTATTTATGATTACTACGGCAATTTCTGCTTAGACATTCATGATCTCGACTCCAATTGCTACATATCCCCAAGTCAGAAAATCCCCTTAGCTGTACGTGATTGCCCTCGGTAATCCATCCACGAATCTTCAAAGCAACATTTACAGCTAATAATTCAGCCTAAAGTTCAAATTTTATTTCTTTATTATAAATCTTAACGCATACGTTTATTGCGTAAATTATTCCAAACGTATGTACAATTGCTATTCACATTTGTACTATTTTCTGTTATCATTTCCCAGCATCGCTTTTAGAGATATCTTATAAGAATATACATTTCTTATTACTTAATGAAATTTTAACCTCAAGCGATACAAAATTTAATTTAAAAGAAAAGTTACATTGATTTTTTTATTTTTTCATATATATTTCATTTAAACGGCGACAATATAAATTGCGAAGAGATCTTATAAAATATCAATTACCGGTAATTATAAAATTCGAGAAAGGTGAGAGTTCATCAATCCGGAATTCTGAAGTAGTCGATTTTTCTTAGGTGAGGATAATGAACTTTCACGCCAGGACGGCTTACAATTAGAACTTACTAGGAATGCTCCAGTGGTACCTTTCAATTTCAATACTTTGCGAGGTGGTAAGTCGTATCTACGTCGATTCACGAATGTATGTAACCCTGTAGTTCTCCGTAATTCATTTCAAGTTTTACATCACATTTCACAATTAACGATTACATTTGTTTTAATTATTAATCGCAATTAACGATTGAAATATTATTGTTAATCATTAATCCCACTTAACTATTAATTTTCATCCAAACCTTAGTCGCTTATCGGCTAAACTGGAAGCCCAGCTCCCACATGATAAAGATAATTAACGGAATTACATTTAAATATCTTTGGAATTCTCCATTCACGAATCATAAATTATTATTATCTCTTTCAATCGATGATTTCCGATTAATTTCATCGTTGAGTTCTCTACGATTAATACTTTTCAGAAATATTCCTCGTAGTACTATAATTATGACAATTTTCCATCTGATTAATCATTGACTGCTAAAGTCACCGCTCTTTAGGAAATGTCGAAAAATAAATGATAACTTTGTTTAAAATACAGAAACCATAATTTTGATCTATCCGTATTTTCTAATTGGGTGTACAATTCTCACGCAAGAATACTCTAGAAAACAGAGTAACAATTAATGGAAGAGTGAACAAAAATGTTATTTTCTGATGTATCTTTTAAACAAATGAAGATATTTAAAATACGGTGGGTAGCTGAATGTCTTCTAAAAAAATACACAACTTTGCCTTTTAAACCATTTCTCCAACTCTAATTGTTTCCAAGACATTAGAACAAGCTATTACCTTAAACTTTAGGTGTTGTTTTTACCTCCAAAAAAATAACAAAATTAAAGTCCTGAATTCGGACGTTTAAATGGGCACTACTGCAGGTGAAATTAAATTTGTTGATAGCGACGAAATTAAATAAAATTGATCGATACCAATTGAAGGTAAAACTGTATGTACATGCATTGATAAAGTAGGGATCTGCTGTACGGATATTAACTTACGTTCATAAGACAGGAATTTGTGGGTTACATTTCTGTAATTATTATCCTCTTCATTCTCGGAATTAAATTGTAACGAATAAATTGATACGAAGAGGGAAAAGATAAATCAATATAAAGAGACAAGAAATTTATGTGTAAATCTTCCTTTTTGCAACTACACCAGCACAACCTCACATTAGATTCTCTGAGATGGATTTTAACTTATGCAAATTCTATAAACAATGCATTAACATTATCTTTTCATAATAACAATTGATTAATTTACAATAAAATTCATGTTTTGAAATTACATATAACATTACTGAAATATTTTTGTACTATCACAGACGAGGTATGAAAGTGGACTGGACAGCATATGGGCACAGCCTTAGACCCCCTTACCATTTTCGTGTCGCGCTCTGCGTTACCGATAGTTCACGAATTTAAGCATGTTAGCAAGAAGCGAATGTCCTATATATTTCATTTCTACGATTACTGAATGTTATTTGATGGCAATAAACATGTACGTGACATAGGAATGGTAATAGAGCTTCTAAAATCTTATTTTTGGGTGACAAAATAATGCCTTAGGCCCCCTTACCATTTTCGTGTCGCGCTCTGTGTTACCGATAGTTCACGAATTTAGGCACGTTAGCAAGAAGCGAATGTCCTATATATTTCATTTCTACGATTACTGAATGTTATTTGATGGCAATAAACATGTACGTGACATGGGAATGGTAATAGAGCTTCTAAAATCTTATTTTTGGGTGACAAAATAATGCATTAGATGTTCAGTTTATTCTTATATCTCGTCTGTTTTACTATCTATTGCATTTCTAAGATTTCGGATGAGAGGTATATTCCCCATTCCAAATTCTACGACCTTCATAATCGGAAATGCTCATTATTACAAACATAATGGAAATATTCCGACCTTCCCATGCTTATTCGCACGATCCGTTAAAACCTGATCTAATACTCGTATCCATAATGGTTACCAGAATGGTTAATCGATGATGGAACTACATACCTATGGTTAGATCGCTTTGGAGCATTAATCATTTTAAAAAATAATATGTGATGGTGTTGCGTGAGGTTCTAGTGGATTTTAATACAGACAAAATCAAAAAACTCAAATTGCATTAAATATATTTAATATTCAATACGTCCGTCCAGAAAGAGCTCCAAACAACAAATGCGACGATTTTCAAGCGGTCGTTGCTAACGTTAACATTTGTATCTTATTTCTGCATAGTGCTTTAGCATATAGCTTTGAATATTATTGATCTTGTAATAAACAAAATTAAGTAATTACATGAAGTTATTTTAATTTGAAATTCCCTCCAAAATAATATTTAAGGATAGCGGTTTAATTTACTATGTTCACATACGAACAAGACGGGAGTCGTAACAGGGGTGATGGACCTCTCGACGGAAGTGCCAACGACTCCGAGATTAGTTAAAGCGGTCGCACGGACGGCGGCGCATACATCGGATTCCCGAAGCGACACGAGGCCCGCTCGTAAACATTCGTGGCCAAGACCAGACGCGAACACAACGTGCTCCAACAACGCTCCACAACGTGCTCCGTGCAACCAACCGCTAACTTGGCCACAAATGTTGGACCATATTGTATTTCCCCAGAAGAGAGAAGGTATATAGAGTTGATAAATATAAGAATATTAGACATACATATTTTTATTGGTTACATATTAATCTTGTATTTCTCTATTGTTTAACTTTTGAGGGGGTGTGTTGAAAAAGAAACTTTAGCCTCGGACACAAAAATTAATCTATAGTTTACTTAGGACTGAGATTCGAAAATATCAGATTACGTTTCCGCCGGTTCCGTCAGCGCGCACCGACGGTGATGTAAACTGTATATCAAAGATACCGCGACATACCATCACCGGTGTCGTTAGATTGTCGCGCTCTGACTGTTGGTGATCCCAGTACCGCGTATACAATGTAAGACGCGATGAATGACCGTCTTTGATCGGTGGAGAAGACAACACCAAAAAGGGTATATAAGCAGGCGATTTTCAGTAGCCGGTCTCTCAGTTGAATTTGGTCGCTCAGTCATTTCGTACATATACCTTCTCTCAAATAAAAGTAAAATAAAAGCTTTTTAAGAAAAAAGAATTAATAGCATATTCATTTGAGAAATAATCCAAGACATAATCCTAATAATTATAAAATTAATTTTATAATACTCTAATGTTATTATAAAATTATGGTCATAAATGATTGTATAGATTGAATATTTTTAAAAATTCGTAATCTTTATTGCACTGCATATTACGAATAAGGAAACGATTGTTTCGCCTTTATTATTAAAAAAAAACAACTATACTGAATAATTTTATGAATTTATCGACGGAGATTAATATGAACAAGCTTTAGAATTGAGCCACGAACTTGGCGCTAGCATCCACTGTGCATTTGATACTAACTTGGTCGTTTCACCACGGATGTCGCCATAAGTAAATTCGAACTATGAATCAGACGCGATTCCCGCTGGAATCTGCAAGATATTTAAACCGGAAGCCATCGAGAATCGTTCGCGAATGCTTGCAAACGATTAATCGATTCACCTAAGTGATGAAAGTCCATCAAATTGTACCGTGATTTGAAAATTGAAAATTGAAAAAGAAAACCTGCGCTCATATTGAACAATTACATTTAATAGTAGTTTACATAGCTTTCGTCCGTCGAAATGATGAAATAACATCGATTAGACGTTATCCCAGAAATGAACGTGCAACAGCAATATTGAAATCAATCGATGTCAAGCTTCTTGAAGCTTCCTTCAACGCCAAAAATGTCGGTCGCCGATTTTGCTTTGCCAGGCCTCAACGCCTCATTAACCCGTCTAGTTTGTTCATCCATCTGGAAGAAATCCCGATTCTCCTCAAGTGCTTTCACGCTTCTCTTGTGCAGCTCCTCTATGGGGCCTGCTTTTCCACCTGCTTCGGTCGGCAACGCGTCTATTGGCAGGAATTTCGCCAGCGTATCCAGGGTCGTGTGTGTGTGGAGCTAAATTAAATAAATATAAATAGGGGGAAAAAAATATAAATTAAATAAATAGGGAACAATGTTACCGAAATGATTAAACCGAATAAAACATTCGCGCTTCTTCTCCGAGAAAGGATTGCAATATCTTGTCGTATAAATCGTCGGCAATATTTCTTCTCCTTTTGTAATTACATTTATTGTAATCGGACCGCAGATCATTATGCAAAATGATCTATATATATATACGAAAATCGATGGATGCAATGGACGAGAAAATTTCTACGAGCTCCTATGATGTTTCAGTGTTATAACAAGACCGCAGATTTTTTGTGCATCTGCGACAAAAAAAGAAAGTCGAATCACAAGCCAGAAAAATTTAACAATTCGATCACGTTGTTTGCAAGTCATTTAAATTATTTCGGACTGGAATAAATGTCTATGCAGTTCCCGTTTCTTGCAATCGATGCACGCTTTCATTTTGCATAATGATATATATATATAAGAATGACATTAAAGAAACAAATTCTAATAGGTTTATGGCGGATCTTTACGCGGAATACGAATTTTTTCTCCGTCTGTTGCTCTGGTAATGGAAGCTCGGTAAAATAATTATTTCATCTCTTAATATTTTTAATAATCCGAGGGTAACATTTCCGAATATCACCGACGATTTTACTATCTTGTCTTTTGCCTGTTTATTTTTGCAATAGGTAGACCACAGATTTTACGCATTTACGAGAACATTGAGCGGGTGAAGTACAGAACAATGAAAACAGTTGAAGAATTTAAAAACGTTGTTATATTATTTCCAACTTACTGGATTTATTAACCGTGCCGACACATTTTCATTCGACTGTGGTTTATTGCGATCGAGGTAGACAAATTTTATTTTGCATAATGATCCGCTGTATGGTTATAAGATACAACCACATGACCTTGGACCAATCCTCTCTCGAAGCGACGAAATAAAATGAAGCAAACGAATGAATAGTAGGTTCGAACGAGGCATTACCATGTCCATCAGCTCCTTCTTCATGAACGGCTTCATCATGTTCAGGATCACGTCCATCACCGCCGTGATATTCATGTAATGGAAACCTTTCAGGCGGACCGGAAGTGCCTCCTGCAGGTAATAGAGATATTTCTTCAGTCCCATGGGATTCAGTCTGGCAGCATGAGCAAAACCGACGTTCTTCATGTCGAAGAGTATAATATGACCCGGCAGCGTGCCTTCTATACGGAGCCATAGATCCACCACCATGCTCAGGAACTTCATGGTGTCGTTGTAGACGAATTGCGATGGCTCAAAGTCCATCAGTCTTCCATAGAGGATCACGTAACCTTCGGGAGTCTTCTTGTCCAGAATCTGGATCGTTCTGAAACAAAACCGTTTGCGTAGATCACGTAATTTCGATTCGCTAGCTCTGTGCAATTTAGACTAATTGCGCATTGTTGCAGCACAGTAGTATGAGACCTTGAAATTAATCTATTTTTCAATAATAAAATTTCCGCTTCGTAATTTTTCTGCTTTGCAGCCGCAGTTGTCCTATTGTAGTGTTTAAAAATTGTTACAGTTGTTAATCTACAATATTTTTCTGTTTTATAGATTTGCATTGTACTGTGCTACTTAAAATTTATTGCTTGCTAGTTGCAATTTCTATGATGATACACTACTTAGAACTTGTTCTATGCAAGTAGTAATTGTTATACTACAGTATCTAACATTTGTTCCATAAATATTGTATATTATTATACTACACTATATCAAATTTGTTCTATAAATATTGTATACTGTACTATATAAAATTTGTTGTATAAAAAGTTGCATATTAGTACACTACACTGTATAAAATTTGTTGTACGAAAGTTGTAGCTGTTACGTAACACTAATTAAAATTTCGTCGTGTGTTAAAATATGGATAATAAGTTCATTTAAATTATCGGCACAACAATGTATGCGAAAAGTGTCGGATGTAACGACTAAAAATCGATTGATCGTTAAAATAGAAACTTTCGGGTCCCGGCATAAAAAAGCAATACATTTATTGTCGGAAAATGTAGAGGCTCGAAAATTTTGTTCCATTGATCGATACTTTGCGACGAATGCACAACCGCTGAGGAGTTCTGTTCATTCGTGCGTGCAGTTGTACTTGAAGAAACGTGAATTGAGGATAATTGAGATGCAGAGCATAGAACGATGAGTACGAAAGAAAACGGAAAGAAAAAAACCCAGCTGGCCACAGTTGTTTATGTTAAATCTTCGAAAGCGATTCCGGTGTACCAGACATTTTTGATAACAAAAATAATTTCTGTTAAAGAAAATCTAGTATATCATTCTGAACATTCGTCCGCCTAATCGAGAGCTTCCTTAATCGGTGATAAATAGTAGATAAAATAGAATTAACAAGTTCTGATCAAATTTCTATTACCTTTTTACAATCAGTGGTTTTTTAGTTGCGGAAGAGAAGATTTCTTTAACATTTCTGCTTGCTATAAAATGACGTATAAAAATGGAAATTTACACGAAGATCCGCAGTTTAGTGATAAATCGTTTCTTCGAAGGTTTCGCCGAACTAAAACTGAATTAATGCCTCATTTCGCGAGTACTCACACAGTCTGAAATGCTTTTCTCAGCTCTTTGCAGCCCAGAGGATCCATATTCGAGAAAAACTCGGGCACGTGCGTCCTCACGGTGAAATAACTATCGATGGTCGCCTTGGTCGGTTCTATTCGATAATAATTACTGTGATAGAACAACGCCAGATCGGCGTCACTGATTTTCGGCAAATGCGGCTGCTTTTTCAACCACTCCCTCAACATCTGTATATCATCCTCCTTCAAATCTGGATTCTTCTTCAGCTCCTCCTCGTACGTTATTAGTTTTCCAGTGTTCGCCATGGTTTCCTTCTTACAAACAATTATCTACAATTCTCTTGGATCGAAAATGAAATCTCCTTTCGCAAATGATTCCTTCCGGAAATCAGCAACGCACAAACTTCGTTAAATTTTCATTTCACACTCTGACCGTCGACTGAACAGCTTTAAAAAATCGCGTAGAATTGGATCAATATAACACTAGATTTACGGAGCACCGAAAGCAGTTGTTTTATATTAGTTTATGAAAGTAACAATGAGACATTTATACTAATTCTTAACAAGTGTTATCGTAATACTCGTCGCAAGTAATAACAGATGTATTGACTAAACGATTCATAAATGTATATGTTTGCAATCTGAGCAATCGTGAATTTAAAAAATCCAACATTTCGACCGAGCATTGAGCGAAATAAAAATTGAACATTTAGGATGTGCGATACGAAATATTATTTCACCTTTCAATCGTGCTAAATCGAATGAAATCGTGTGAAAAGCAAATCGAATTTATTTTTCTGCACCTAGTCCCTTCAACGTTTAAAACGAAATTCGAGTCGTATAGACCCGTTTTCATAGAGTTATTGCGTTTTAAAAGGTATTCGAATACTTTTTGCGACCGGCAGCATATTGAAAGGAATTAGTGAATTTACATTGAGCTTCCAAGAGTGATTGTCTTTTGTGAGCGAGTTCGCTAAGAAATTAGCGACTTCGACAACGACGATAAATACGTTTAAATTCTCATCCGGCGAAATGTATCAGAATGCACTGATTACTTTACTCCGAGTAAACTCGGCAAGCAGATTCGGTAAAATCTATAAAAAAGAAACGTAATGTCGGTTTACTTCGAGATTTTTGTGGATCGCTTGGCTTTTCAAGGCGCAGAAGTTTGCGGGATCGCCAGCCGAGTACAATGGAGTATCGAAGAAGGATTCGTCCCGTGATGGCCTAGTCGGCGGCTTGAATGGTACTGGCTGACCGTAGACATTCAAACTCAATCGTGCTCTTAAAATGTGATGGGACAAGCTAATATCATGTAATCACCTGTTGCGTGACTGTTGAGGTCGTCAGACCAGCGGCCGCCAAGATTACATACTCCGGGATGATATGAAAATCGTGGAGTTGCAACAAAACACAGAATCGTCAGACCAGTTTTTACAGACGGACCTCGGGGCGCGAAACACCATTCTCTGCGCCATAAGACGAATTCGAGTAAGTCACCATGAACGGACCCGTCTACACAAACCGTAAGTGGAACGACCGCTTACAAACATTAGGTCGAGTCACAAATAACTTTCGTTTCTTTATCAGACATTCATCTTGTTCTTCTTTTCATTTCTTTCTTTCTTTTTTATTTCGTTCATTTCGAACCCTTATCTATGTAGCGAAAGCAAAAACTCGTTTGTCCCGGTGACCCACGGTTGGTAGATAGGAACAATAGATTTTTATCTGGCTGCGTCGGAAGTTAATTACGATCCGACCTAATGTAGATCGAAACTGCAACATCTCGAGAACAGGGCAATTAAGTCGCAACGAAATAATCGCATCGAGTGTGTCCGTGTTTCAATGGATTTCTTCTATTCATCCTGAGCCAGCGGAAACTCGCACAAGTATTAGACCAGTTATAAATTGCGACTTCCGTGACAAACAAAAACACGTTGCATGTCGTTACAAAAGAGGCCCGCAATTAGAGTCGGATGCATTTGTTCTGCGAGGGGAATTGTTCGATTTATCGATTTGGAAACAAAAAGACGCACCCGGACTCCGTGAGATTCTTCAAACTGCAATTCGATGGAGTCATTCGAATTAATGTTCCAGCAATTAGCACGCGAAGTTCCGACTAATTAAACTCATTCGGCTTTAATTAGAAGCTCCTTCATCGGCCTCTTTGAAGCCAAGCAGCATAAAACGATCTCAAAAATGTACTCCTCGGATGCTTGTGCTAAATTTTTGTTCGCTTTACGTATTATTAATTAGCAGTCCTGCGGGAAGCAAAAGTCGAGTGCACTTCGCGCGCTAAAAAATCGAATTCATTCCGTCAATTTGTTATTAATGGGAGCTTGACGGAAATGATCGAGACAGAGATATTAAACAAACACTTCGTGACTTTATTATCTACTGTAGAGACGGCTTACAACAATTAATCCTTGTCGCTGTACGCTGCTTCCCGATAGGATCGAAACTATTTCTACAGTTTTCAGAACGGAATGAACAGTTTCTGTTATCTTCTATAATGGTATTTGCTCGCAAACGAATGGAATTATTTGTCTAAATTAAAGTTCTGCCGTTCTTTGGTAGGAGATTAGTCAGACTTTGGTAATGCTAGACTTAATGTGATCACGCCGCTTAAAAGTAACCCGTTTACCAAATGAAGTTTAGGATGTGATAATTGATTTCTAATCGATTTCGAGCTTCTTGAACGTTCCTTCGACGCCGAACAAATCGTTCGCCGTCTTGCTTTTGCCGACCCGCTGGGACTCGTCCACTCGATACGCGAGTTCCTCTTCTATGAACCAATCGCGTTTGTTGTCTAATTCTTTTATTTGTTCCTCGTGGAATTTGGACAATGGTCCTGCTTTCCCGCCGATGTCATTTGGGAGTATATCGAGGGACACGTATTCCTCCAGCGTGTCCAACGACGAATGCAAATGTATCTGCGAAAAGTTCAATTTCATGCGATTATGCGCCGTACAGTCGCTAATAGCGAGTGGTCTGTGATTGGACGATTTAGAAATGATGTTGAGCAATGGATTTAGTTTTTCATTTAAATTCAAGAACATAATTATGCAGCGTCTATTAATTAAATTCAAGAACACGCTTGTGCGGCGTCTGTTGATTAAATTCAAAAACACGATTATGCAGTGTTTGTGAATATAAATTCAAGAACACGATTACGCAGTGTCTGTTAATGTAAATTCAAGAACGTAATTACTAGACCGCGGATTTCTATGCAATTGGAAGACATAGAAAGTAAAAGGCAAGTTCGTTCTTCCTTCAATCATTCGAATAGATTGGAAATAATTCATTAACATTTTTAAACTTCTCGAATCCTTTTATTATTTTTCAATTGCATCCACTCAATTTTCCCATAAATGCATAAAATTCGCAGAATCCATTGATATGACTGTAAATTATAGCGACTTATTGCTGTAACTGTATATTATTTGTATGTTAATTCAAGAACACAATTATGACCCGTCGAATGCAAGAACACTTTTTCGTGATTGGACAATTCAGAAGCGATATCAAACGAAATACGTACAATTGCGACTTCACCGCCAAGAATAATTCACCGAGAACTCCACAAGGCATACGACGTTTCGTGAGAATTATTTGCATTAACTTGTGAAATTTATTGTTGTCGCATTGTTGATTGATATAAATTCAAGATCACCGTTCTCCGATTTCGTGTGTTTGTTCAGTTGATGATCGTGATAAATCGTCGTTTATCATCATCGCATCGAGAGATTACTGCCGTTCTTGTTCCGCGGACCGGAAAATTATCACTTCACGCGATGTCCTACGTAAGGCAATTATTGTTTATGTAACGGAACGTTGGAACCGATTGCATGAACTAATAATAATATACTAACTTAACTAATAATACACTAACTTTTGTATCGCGATATTTATTGTATAAATTGAAATGCTTTTATCCGTTCTTATCCGGAGATTATGATAATATATAACGTACAGAGTGCGAAGATATTATATTATTTACGCAACAGAACACCAGCCATTTGGCTGGTTGTGCTACGTCAGAAAAACGCTATGACGTTTTCTTTTGAAATGGTAATATTTCTAAATGAATTGCTCATATTAGATCATTTAAGATCATATAGATCATATAATTATACATTGAAATTACCATCGTACTATACAATTTGCAATTAGAAATCAAAATTAACGATGCTAGAAATCCGTTGCGTTATCATCGGTGATTTATATTTGCATGTAATTAGACGTTACGTTTTAGATTTTAACCGGAGAGAGTGAGAAAGAGGGAATGAAAGGAAATAATGTGCTAGGTGAGATGAACATGTTTAAGGGAATCGTAAAGAAAGTCCAAATGTCTAATGGCTACGAGAATAAAATAAAAATGATGATAGTAATAATAATAATAATAATAATAATAATAATAATAATAATAATAATAACAATAATAACAATAATATTACCATTGTTAGCGTAATTTCATTAGTATAATAGTAATAATAATAATAATACTATTATTGTTATTAATATTTTAAAATAATAATAAAATCGTCATTACGCGATTTGGTTCATATGGATATTAGTTATTATTATTATTATTTAATTTAATTTAATCTAATGTAATTTAAAATCACATGAACAAAATCGCACAATAGCGCATCCACGACGTAAATGAAATGATGCTTACCAAGCTCCACAGATCCCTAGTCATGAACGGCTTCGCCATGTTCATGATGACGTCCATTACCGGCGGCGTGTTGATAAAGTGGATCTGCTTCAATCGAACCGGTATCGCGTCTTGAACGTACGTCACCAATTTCTTCATACCCATCGGACTTATTCTGCCAACATGACCCAGCGACACGTTCGAAGCATCCCCGATAAAAATGTATCCGTCGACGGTTTGTGCTTGCAAGGCCACCAAGTCGGACACCATGAAGAAGTACTTGGTGCTGTCGTCGAACGAGTAATGAGATGGGTCGGGGTCCATCAGCTTCCCAAACAGTATTTTGTAACCTTGTTTCGATAACTGTGGCAGTCCAATCGCGGCTCTGTAGAAGAAATTGATGAAATTGTCGATTTATTCGCCGACACGAATTCTATTAAAATAATTCATTCCATTTAATTTTCAGGTATCTTATAGAATAGTTAGAATAAATAGTTAGAATAGATAGTTAATAGCCGCCAATAGTTAATAATAGGTAGGTAGAATAGAATAACTCTTCTTTAATCTCTACTGACAGTTAAATTACATAATTCTAGCTCTTTTCCCAAAAGTTCTGCACTTTGTTGGACATAATTGTTACCAATACGGAGTTTCGTATAATTATTTAGTCAATAATTTGTTTCGTTGAATATAAATTTCATGGAAAATAGATTTCTCGTAAATAAAAAAATGAAATAAAACTATCGTTGATTTTTCATCGCATTCACGTTTTCTGGCGTTCTATATTGCCGGTGATAACGCAGTGATTTTTGAGTCTGCCTTTTTATTTCCATCGCGAGGTGAGATTACAAATTCATTATTCTTCCTCTCTGCAACAGGTTTTCATCTTGTACTTGATCGGTAATCACCGACAACGACGACATACTGCCATCAGCGACGAATACACTATACCGTAATTAAGTAAGCATTATACTTCCGCAACGAATACCTAACAGGATTCTGAATTTGTTGAGGATAATACAATGGGTGGCTGAATTGTTAGAATCACTTCTTTAAATTGGCAATTTTACGTTTGCACAAAAACACAAACGGCCTAGACGGAAAAAATATGATCAAATTAGCTCTCACAGATTTGTTAACAAATGTTACGACGTTCGATAACTCGCCTGAATAGAAAAATTAGATCGCCTGCTTTTTCGTCCATTTCTCTTTCCCGATGGCTTTTTAAATGTTTGAAAAATGTGGCACATAATAGGGAATTATTTCAGATTTTTCTGTCACAACCTGCGGTTACAAAAAATTAGAAATCAGGGAATATAATAAATAATTAAATTCTACAGAATATACAGGGTGTCTCAAAATTATGGTACCTTCGGGAAATGAGAGGTTCCTGAGGTCATTTGAAGTAACTTTTTTATTTAACTATACAGACTATAAAATAACTAAACAAAGTTGGAATTTTTATTATTATATTTTTATTATTTACTGAATACTGTTGAAAAGCAAAATTGCAGACAGATTTATGCGTTTATGATAAAAATGTGTAGGTGTGGTTCGAAGCAGAAGACAGATTGAAAGTATTTACGAGTGCCGATGTATTAGTTTTAAGCTTATTAAATTTGATTGCAATCGTTTCTACTTGTCGTGATTGATATAAACAATTTTTAGTTGTAACTATAGTTACAGTTGTCAACAGATTCATTCATGGCCTCGACTAATATTACCATCACCAACAATCATTATATTATTCATCGAGTAGAGAATATTCTTAAGAAGTGACACGATTGGAAAACTTACACCACGTTGAAAGCTTGTCGAAGCTCCTTCGACCCCAATGGGTCCCTGTTCGCGAAGAACTCTGGCACATGTGATCTCAAAGTATAAAAGTTCTCCACCGTTTTTTTCGCTGCCTCGATACTATAGTAATTGCTATGCAGGAACAACACCAGTAGAAGATCAACGATCTTCGGCAGATGTGGCTGTTTCTCGCACCACTCCCTCAGCATCTCGATGTCCGACATCTTAATTTCAACGTTGTTCTTCAGTATTTCCTCCAAACAATATGGATAAGGCATCGACAGGGGCTTCTTGGTAGCCATGGCCGAAACGATTGAAACTGTACGGGAAACAAAACATCAAATACAGAAACATTCTCGGACGTCTGTCACGCTCGAAAGAGATTAGGTGTGCAACGACCAGACTGTGGTCTCCGGCACACTCATTGTCAGATCTACTTCCACCGAACGAATTCCAACGGAAGATTTTCTAGAGGCAATAAAAACATTTCCTGGAGCAACGGGTTTGTCATCCGATCATGTTTTCTTGAATCGTACTTCGAAGAAAGCAGATCTGCAGAAACGTTTGCTCCGGATAGATGATATCCATAAGGATATAATTCGGAACATGGTGTTTTACTTGAAAGGAATGAAACTTTCGAACAAATTGAAACATTCGAAATGATCTTGACAGACGAAGAAGACAGACGATATCATTAAAATGATACGAAACACGTTATATTTGGGATAAAATATTGATAAACAGGAAACAGTATTTATCGTAAAAATTCAGTGAATTTTGTAGGGCTTCAAGTGAAGTCTTTCATAAATTCATTACAGTACAGCTCTAATCGGATAATATATATAATTAAATTATCTTGAAATTGCAGTACAAGTGTAGCGAAAAATGACATGAAAAGTGACATGAAAAGTGACATGTATTCAAACAATGAATTTTCTACTGTTTTCTCGATATAACCATAATATCAGTTAACTTAACGTAAAATTTTAGGACTGGATCTAACGATTAAAACTAATTTAATTCACGATCATTGAAACAGTGTAGATGCACTTGTCGGAAATGATTCAATAATTTTAGTTCTTTGAACTAACGTTGTAATAAAAATTTTATAAAATTCGAACAAGTACAATGAAATTACTTGTATAAAATAACATAAAGTGACCGCTTCCAGCATTTTACAATTCTACTACCCAAAATTGACAGAAATGTTTTTTATTTATTATTTATATTTATTTATTATCGGCTTCATCGCGTATTTTATTTATGTTTCTATCATTTATTTCGTTCACAGGAAAAATCAGCGTCGTTAGTAACCATTATTACCCAATACTTCTCACTTTTCACTATAATTTACGCGACGAGAAGTCTGATAACATTAATCTTGTGACAAATAAATATTACACAACGTGTCGATAATTGCAATACCGGTGATCCTAAACAATTTCGAGCGGTTCAACCGTTCCAGCGTGAAAAATCACGAAAATGTTAAGCAGGTGTTGCACACACGTGTCACCGTTTGACATTAATTGTCGTTAATCCCAATTAGAAATCGCGCTGATCGATCCGAGACGATCGATGATTCACTGTGCGATCTATGTATCGTCACCTGGCCGCACGGAAATCACGCTGTCCACAGGATGTCCGATTCACCTGTCCGTTCCAGCGATCGTTGGCGATCGGTTAGAGTCTCGGTGAAGACTGCGAGCACCGTTCAACGTCTTCATTTTAATTCATATCACAAATTATAACGCCATAGCGTGCACATGCCTGTGTACATGGGTGCGCATGTGTATGGAGTTACGCTTCGATTAGAATGTAAGGAGAACGTGTCTCTCCGATCCAGGATTATCGCGGCTTTTTCTACGAGCGATTCGCGGAAGCAGGGGATAATTGGTGTGGTTCGGCCTCATTACAGAGAACCGAACTCGTGATTAGAGGTAGGCATACTTATTTGGCAAGTCTTGCGCGAATCATGATTATGCAATCGCGAAGACATCGCTCGCACCGTGCAATCGAAGCGAGCTTGATCGGCATAACAAGAATTTCAAATGACCAACGGCGAATAAGAAACAAATCGCTAGCTACTATCTGAGGGAACGCGAAAACAAACAATATTTCGATACAGTTATTTGTTATTTCAAATAAAATATTTCCCAATTTATTTTTCAATTTATTCTTACTTAGATTTATTTTTTAATCGATTTTTGCTTAATTTATTTTTACTTGAATTTCTTTTTTAATTTATTCTTACTTGATTTTCTTTCGTAATTTATCCTTACCTAAATTCACCGTATCCATTTATTTTATTGAAATTTCTTTAATTTATTTTTACTTGAATTTCTTTTTTAATTTATTCTTACTTGATTTTCTTTCGTAATTTATCCTTACCTAAATTCACCGTATCCATTTATTTTATTGAAATTTCTTTAATTTATTTTTACTTGAATTTCTTTTTTAATTTATTCTTACTTGATNCAATCGAAGCGAGCTTGATCGGCATAACAAGAATTTCAAATGACCAACGGCGAATAAGAAACAAATCGCTAGCTACTATCTGAGGGAACGCGAAAACAAACAATATTTCGATACAGTTATTTGTTATTTCAAATAAAATATTTCCCAATTTATTTTTCAATTTATTCTTACTTAGATTTATTTTTTAATCGATTTTTGCTTAATTTATTTTTACTTGAATTTCTTTTTTAATTTATTCTTACTTGATTTTCTTTCGTAATTTATCCTTACCTAAATTCACCGTATCCATTTATTTTATTGAAATTTCTTTAATTTATTTTTACTTGAATTTCTTTTTTAATTTATTCTTACTTGATTTTCTTTTGTAATTTATCCTTACCTAAATTCACCGTATCCATTTATTTTATTCAAATTTATTCTATGTATCTATTCAATTTGCATTTGTATCTATTAAATTTTATTTACGTTGATACGATCTAATTATTTCATTTGAATTAATTTTATAACATTTTCTGTGTGATGGTGAGAATTTTTGAATCCATTAAAAATAGACTCTCAAAATTAAACGAAATGCTGAAATGTCAAGGACCGTTTATGGACCGTTTGTGGTCCGTAGTGCTATCGAACTTTTGTCCCTGATTCGGAAGAATCTTCTTGTTAATCATTGATACCACGAGTTCGTTAGCGTTAATTAATTTTCATAAGAGAGCATCGCGATTGCGAAGGCATCCGTTGGAATACAGGAGGCGTTTACCAAGACGAAGGCCTCGCGACGCTTTCTAATTTAATCAGTTTCTGATCTAGTTCCTCCGCTGCTTCCGTTTTAACTGTGCATTGTTCCGCTTTTGATCTGTGCGCATAAATCGTTCAAAAACTAGTTGTAATTTTAAATGGAATAATTTATCCTTCGAAGTCCTGATTCTCTATCATCTTATTTAAGAAGCTTAGAAACTTGAACAAATTAAAGACGAATAAGTTTATCTAGTTCGTTCAGTTTCGAGCGTAAGCAGCAAATAATTCTTACCGCGAATCCCATAATAGACTGTGTATAATTCGGCACAGAATTTCTGCTGACTTTTTTATCAAATGTTGGAATAGCGCCAATTCATGCAGTGGCAAAACAGTACGCCAAAATTATCCACAACTGATACTTTTTATATAATAAATATCGTCGAAAAATTGTGATTTTAGTCGCCCGACATTTCATTGACTTGTACTACTTGCAATTTTCGAAAAAACGTCGCAAACTTCTAAGTAGTACGAGTCAATGAAGAGTCGAGCGTCGAAAAAAAAAAAGTTGGCCGTCTGACATTTTATTGACTTGTACTGTTTGCAATTTTTGGAAAATGTCGCAAACTTTCAAGTGATACGAGTCAACGAATAGTCAGACATGGAAAAATTTTGCCTAATTTTTTATTCGATGAAGAGCCGCGGTCTCCGATTTTATTTTTAATTCTAATTGAAATGAATTCTCTTTTTGTTCAGTGCTAACTACTTTTTCTATCCTTTCGATTTCTTAGGCTCTGATGCCGTTCAGTTCACAGAAATACAAGGCCAGTGTACCATGTGCAAAATGATTTATTTTCTAATTATACGTACAGTAATCTGTGGTATAACTTCTTTCATATACATGTGTGTATATACAATATCTTACTCTCGATCTTAAGAACGCAGGCGCAAAATACATAAAAATAACTAAGGCTCTCCCGTATTTGTTTGTAGTTACTTGTCTGTCAGTAACGCTATTACACACAGCATGGACGACCATGCCCCATCCCTCTCGTTTACTTTTCTCTTCTCATTTGTTCAATGATCGACGATCATTCCTCTAGTCGTACATCTATCCAACTGATCCATGCGGGTCTTTCTCGATCGACGAGTCGAGCGCGTACAAGCGAACGAAAATCATGTTTTGCACGAGAGATCTCGAGATTACGCGAGAAATAAAGGTCTCTACGAGGAACTCGGTGGTTCGTCCACCATTATAAAAGTTGCGAATATAGAAATTCCTATGCTGTGTTTGAACAGGCACGGGCGTGGTTCTGTCGCGAAAGGAACTATAGCCTTCTCATGCTGTCGATTGCTTTCGTGGATGTCGAGAACGCCCGACTGGTCGATCAGCAATAACAAAAGTATGTTTCGCAAACAATGGATTGCGGGTGAACAGCAACCCAATGTGTAGCTTTCGCATAAGCTCCGGGGATGTTCGACCGCCCCTCCACAGAATACTACAAATTGATATGAAAAAGAGAAATTCTTCCTCCGCCTCCTACGCATGAAACTAACATTATTCGATAAATCCCCGATTACAAATATGTATGATTTTTAGCGCTTTTTTCGGCTCGAAGCGTTAATCAAACGTAACACTAAACATAATACAGATATAATACAGAAAAATTTCAGCAACATAAACGATAAAGAAATGAAGCAAGAACACACGCTTCATAGGTACAATAAAGTGTGCGCTCGACTCTCCGTTGCAATCATTCATTACAATCATTATTCACAATCACTTGGAGCTCTTTATTCGCGATATCGTTCGTCTCTCGTTAGCAGGCATTCTTGGTGTTTTTTATTTTCTTAGAAAATTCGTTAAAAAATCAATGGACGTGAAGACCGTTATGAAAAAGTAAGAATATTTCGTATGTATAAGATAAAACGGTGTCCTCGGATACTTCTCTACGTATAAAACAACGGTTTGTTCTCTTATTCGTATGGTTAGACGTAAAATGTTTGTCGATGAGAATTCCTCGATGTGTTTGAAATAAGCGAGAGCATTTCGCTATACCGAGACAGGCGACCGGCTCGTGGAAGTGTGGATCGTGTATGAGAGTACAAGAACGTTTTTAATAAGTAATGGTGTAAATGAAACCGTGATTATTCGGGACAGTATTGCAATCGTTCGCGCTCGGTTGTAGCAGCAATGCTTCAAATGTTGTTCCTCCGTTCGCACGGAATGTGGGTTTGTCAACTTATATCACGTTTACATCAGAAAAACAATTCACGCATATGCATTCCCATTACATTCTCTTCACGATTGATGCGCTATCACAGTGATCATTGTTGCACTACATATGAAAGATTCTGCGCTAAGTGTAGCGCAGATAATTCCAATTTCTCAAAATGACATGCAAATTTTCTTACTCTCATTGGAAGTTCGGCAAACGGAACCGCATTATTCGATCTCTTTATTCGTCACGAACGTATTCACTCGGCAACGTAAATTCATTTCCGTGGTAAGCAATGAACAAACTTGCGTCGGAAGATACGCTAAGTACAACACAAGAGTCCCTTACAAAAGAATCATTTACAATCGACACGGGAGGCTTCTCATTTTTCTTTTTGTTTCTCATTCAGACAAATATTCTCCTAGAAAAATTTGTTCAATAATAGACTTTCATTGAATACTATCTTTTGCCACACGCTAACGCCGCCGTAAAGAATGACATTACTTTACACATATTTATGTAATCTGCCTATACAGCATAATAAAGAGTATCATTATATTTATATAATATTTATATATATATATATGTATCCATAATAATCTTAATATAAATGTAAATTTAACAAAAACATTCGATTGATAAATTCCTTAGTTTAAGGACCCGAAAATCACAGGCAATGTAGTCTTTACACCGGTACGACATACCGATAGGAATTTCAAGATCGGCATTTTAACTGCCCCTCATATTTACTTGCGATGCTACCTATATCAGATATTATCGTTTCTGCTAATTAAACTATCTTCCTTGTCAACTGGTGGCGGGCCAGCGGTTAGGGTGGTGCTTGGGCCAGCCGTCAAATAACCAGCAGACACCGGTGTTCCTGCTGTGCATTAAAATTTTATTTTAAATGTACTGTAATATGCTGCAATAAATGCACTGCGAATCTTTACGCAAATATTTCCATTTTCATATATTAAATTAATTAAAATTTTGTATAGTTTTTCTAGCCTGTTTCTAGTTCTGAATAGCAGAGCAAGTATTGAACATTTTCAAACTTATATATATACACATTAACTACTCATCTACTTTAGAAAACTACGGTGGCTACTCCAGCTCTTTAAATATCAATGTCTTTTTGTATTTCACAAAATTTGCAGACAACGTCACAATTCTATAAAAATCCGCAATTCAATAAATAAAAGAGTTTTCTTTTGTGTTACTGATTAGTTACTATGATTAGTGTTGCATAAATTAATATACAATATTCGTATATCTTACCAGTAAGGTAACCAGCATTATTGGCATTAGAAATGAACAGATCATGTCGCTGATCTTTGTATTCTGCCCAAACGCTCGACTTTTCTAATATAGCATTGACTTTTTCTCCTAACAATAAACTTCTAGTCATAGCTTTCAAAGCCTTAACTATTTGAGCTTTGGTTGTTGCAGGGTTTTCAATGGCGTCCAATCGACCCTCCAATATGTTCAGTAAATAAGGTACCATTTCAGCGTCCAAAGCCTAAACATAAAAGAACCCTTGTTTGTTAAATCAAATATCTTTCATTTACGTCATTATCAAATTTCAACTCACTTGTTTTATGAGTCTATCTTCATTAGTGGAGAATAGCCTATTTAGCGTCTCGCACGCTATCGCTATCATATCCCGTCTAGATTGCATCGCATGTTTTAATGGACTTATACACTCGGTTTGACAAATGGATGATATACAAATCTGAAAAAAGCGATTAGATTCTTTTTATATAGATATTTATAAATACTGAAAATATTTCCAAACTACCAATCTTACTTCGCTGGTTGCTAATTGATGAAGTATTAATATTGCTGTTTTATACACGGATGGTTGATTATTTTGCATTGCCATTTGTCGACAAAGTCTAGGTATGTGTCCTAACGACGGAACTTGGTCGGCTAAAATCGGTTGTGCTTGAAGTAAAGATACTAGTGCTTGCGTCGTTAATTCCAACATGTCCGACTAATAAGTAAAATAATTTTTAAAATATTAATTTTTCAATTAAATGTAATAACTAATAAAAGTTCAACTCTATATTTACATCGGTTTTTTCTTTGGACATGAGTGTCAAAGTTGAATCCATAAGTTCACTTAAAAATTCTTTCGGCTTTCTGAGAGCCCATGCAGGACTGGCTACAAATAATCTAAGATATACACCTCCCACAACGGGCTCATTTGTTGCGATGTCAGTATTACTTTGGGTCTCAGGTAGTTTTAATATTGCATTAGGATTTCGCCTCTGTAATGTGTAAAATCTGGAAGAAATTATGTATTGTATTACAGTGGTAATTTTATTTAAAGTTGACGCGTTCAAACAATGTTCACATACTCCTCTTTCAATTCAGCTACAATCCTCGAGATTTTAGCTTTGGCATGATCGTCCCAAATTAATTCAGGATTCTCGTGCTTAGTTTCGAACATATGCACGCATTGTTTAGGAGCGTCTCGAATTGCTTCGCTAAATAATCTAGGTAAAAATTTAGACAAATCCAATTTGACTTTTGGTCCGGCCAACTTGTCGGATGACATTTTGCCGAGCAGTTCAGCAGCCGTTTCACGAATTTGTGTATTATTTGAATTACAGAATAGATCGAGAACATATACAACAGCACCTATAAATTTAGAAAAATATTATTTTAGGATAATACAGAGAAATATGAAATGTAATATTGAATTGCCATTTACCTTTAGCTAACGCGTCCTTTACAATTCTCGTAGAACTCATCAGAGCATACAAAGTTTCTAGTACAAGAAGCTGACAATCCTTCAAATTATTTAAAGTTAATAACAAATATACCATAACATCATTCGCTGCGATATCGTCTACACATTCTTGATTTCTTGTAACACTGCTGATCACCTCCAAAGCATTCTTTTGAATCAACTTAAAATTGTTACTACTTAGAAGTCCAAATAGTAATCTGAAATGGCCTATGCACTGCAATTCTACTCCAGGATTATTTTTGATCACATTCTTCAAAGCTTCCAAAGACATCACAATATATTCTAATTTCTTCTGATCCTTCTTAGCCATTGCCACGTTTCCTACTGATGTCAAGTACTCCCACGATTGAGACAGAAAGTCTAGTAAATTAATGGTAAAACTTTTCGGGTTCTGTAACACATTTATGGTTGATTATTTTGTTATTTAAGTACTACTGAGAAGAGCAAAGAATGCCTTACCTCTATTGGAAATACGGGTTGCTCATTGTACACTTTTACAAATATTTCTCCAATAATAAGTTCATCCCCGTGAGCAGTATATTTGAAGTCACTAAAATCATGCTCGAAAGTCTCGCTTCCGTTTAGTCTTTCCTGTCGTTTAGCTTCCAAGTACTCGTTCAATTCTGCTCTCGTTCCATTGTCCCAAATTAGATACGGATTCGAACAATTCGAGTTCAAAATCTTTAGTATCTCCTCTGGCTTGTTTTTACCAAGCTGCCGAGCTAAATAAGGTGTTAACAAACTTTCCAAAGCAGCGACAGTAACAGGATTAACAGGTGTTTCGTTTTCCTCTGTCATATAACCACCTAGCCTGGCACAAGCTCGTACAGCCAACTTGGCTAAATTATTTGCTACTTCTTGACGATTTTCATCTTGATTCCTTTCAACACCACCTTCTTCTAACGTGTAATCATAATTAAACATAAAGAGCAATAAATGCCATAGAGCACCAGATTGTAGCAACTGCATTTGGAGAACGCTGTCCGATGCAAGGGAAGAGATGCATTCTGTAGCCACCGAACACAACTTCGTTAAATGCTGTAAAACATAGACATAACTATTAAATAATTATTTTGGTGTGTGTGTGTGTGTGCTTTTTAAATACACGCTAATACCAACCTTGAAATGTAATATTCTACAAAGGTCCTTAACCAGTTGTGGTAACTCAATAATCCTATCTTTGCAACCTCTGAACGAGCCGGCGACTGAGAAACACCTTGTAATATGCATACAGACTTGCACCGCCACATCATTGGGCTTACTTGATTTGTTTAATACAGAAACACATCTTGTATAAGCTTCTAACAGAACATCTAATCCTCCTTCCCTGCGGAGTTCTTCCGCATTCAACGCAGAACATTGTACCGTATGATATGCTAGTTCACTGGCAGCGGCAAGTAGCGGCGTGGACTTTGAAAACAATTGATCGTCGTCCGTTTCTAATTTAATTGTTTTGATTAGCTGAGGATAACCGGCATACTTATACGGCCTAAGCTCGTCGGAATATCTATGGAAAAGAATGCTCTGCGTTCTTAAAATTAGCACTATATTGTCGGGATTTGGACCGTCCGTGGACCAACAACTCCGACTGCATAAGAATTCGTACGCTTGATTGACTGCTTCAAATTTATCCTAAACAGAAAATACAGTTCAATTGGATTGCATCTTTGTTTTGTTGTTACTTGAAATATTTTTACGAACTTACTCTTCCTTGAGGATTTTTATCAGGATGATACATTTGCGCAAGTTTGTAGTATGATTTTCTAACTTCAGCCTCGTTGTGTTGTTTCCCGTGAGATAATTGAAGAACCTTGTAGGCTTCGTCCACTGTCATCAACGGTGGTTTCTTCTCTACTTCCTTCTTCCAAGTCTCCAATACGTCTTTAAATAGTCGTACCTACATATTAAATATAAAATGTATTCTAAAACTTTAGGCATAAATATTTTGTGGTTATTTGCACCGGCTTAAACTTACTGGTTCAGGAATAGGCCATTGTGGGAATTTGATGGTGTCGCACAGATGTCGCAGATAAAATATTTGGCAAAACAATTCCTTTTCTAATTGAGGATATCTGATTGCAGGTATAGCAATATACTGATATCGCGCCATGGTATGGCTTCTTAATTTTGGTGAAAAATCCGCAATATGCGTTGCTATTTTTTCGATTAGCATTCTTCTCATCTCAGCATTCCAGATAGCTTCTGGCGTATCGAAATCACCAAGGAATATTTGCGCAAATTTTTCTGCACCATGGTTTTCTAAATAACTCACCATTGCGTCGGGTAGCAGTTGGCCAAGAATACTACGTTGCATAATATCGAAAGCGACGTTCTGCAAAATAGGTTGTATAGTAACTCGTAAGTGTAAAAAATACTCATTTTAGTATATACTTACATCATCGCTTCTAAATGCTTGTTTCGTGTGTGTTAATTGTAAAAATCTTGCTATTGGTAAAACATTAGAACCAGTATACATCAGTATGAAATAGAAGCAACCAGTTAGATAGATCTTTGAAACGTCTGCGTTATCCCGCATTATTTCGCATAACAAAGTAGCTACCTTCTCAACTAAAATCGGATCAAAAGTTAATAAAAGTTGAACAATGTGAGGTAGGCACTGAAGATCAGATAATAACCGCCTCATACGCGGCAGAGGTCTGATTACTGCGTCGTCAACGTCCCTACTTGGAAAATATTCACACATTTTGATTAGGATGTCTAAAATTAATGTTGCCAATTCACTTTCATTTATTACTGGTGTTCCTTTTGCCACTAATGTCCATTTTAATTGCGGGACCTGCGAAATCATTCGCCAGCCGTCCAGTCCTTGTGCCCAAACTTTGGTTTTATACGTTATCTGACTCGTTAAATACTGTTCTTTCAAATCTTTTAGACTAATCGGACCTTTCCGTTGATCTCCGTCATTGTAGTACCATTCTTTCTCCATAACTAGCTGTTGCTGTGGTCCTGCCTCTATCACATTGGTTTGCGTTGGCACGACCGCTCGCGATGTATGTAAATGGGCTAATGTTAAAAGATCTACTAGTGTGCGTACTCCATTTTGATCCATAATGTCTTTTACGTTTCTTCTGTGCAGTATAAGTTTATTTATAAACATGACTAGCCTATCACGTTCCATTCTGTCCGTACAACGTTCCAGCATCCCGACAATATATTTTGTGTCCGAAAATGGACCAATATCTTCGAAATATCGTTCATATACTATAGTCATTGCTTGCAAGCAAAGGCACTTCATTTCAACTTTTGTTGTTAATATGAATCTATGATACAAGTCATTAAAAAATTCATACCTGTAACAAATACAATTGCATTACTCGATAGACAGAGAACGTTTCATCCGAGAAGTTTATCGTCGAAAGTTCAATTTCAAAACCTACGATTTTCTTATTGGGCTATCCGGACTATCTCTTTCCAACAGAAGTCTCAAATAATAGTCGCCGATCTTCACTTCGTCTGACAGGCACTGATACTGTACTTCAAATTCTCTATGATTCCAGGCTATGAGCGTTCCGCCAGCCAAATCTTTGTCAGAACTGAAAGCGCGAATTTCGTTCTCAAGTGCTGTTCTTAGTTCCTCCCGTGTCTTGTGATTCCAAATTAAATTCGGCAGTGAATGATCCTGATTAAATTTATAATAAAACAGATTCCAATTCGCCTCTGATTTAATCCTCTCTCGTCGTTTTCTTAATACTATTGGACGTTCTTTAATTTTCTCTTTGCGCTCAATGCCAATCCTGGCTCCCCAATGCTGAAGAGCATGCTCGACGTGCTTCTCAACCACGCGCATCTGACGCTCAATCACGATCCACTGTGGATTCTTTTTATTTTTTGATGCATGATCTATTGCTATTTTCAAATTGTCACGGTTGTTCAACCTCTCTTTCTCGAGGAAAGACTCGGGAATCTTCTCATCGGAGTCTAAGTAATTTAATAAACCAACAGGCTGTACAAATGCACAATGAACACAAACTTAGATATTTTCATTTTAGTGATTTAGCAGAAATAATAGCGTATGCTCAGTGAATAATGTTAATTTACCATAATTCTTTTCAATAGACCCATAGCTGTAGGATGTCCTGTAATCCAGAGTCCTACAAGATGCCTGCACAATTGTCTATGTGTTAACAGCCTACCGTCGGTACCAGCAGTGAAAAGACTATTTAACAAATGTCTTGGCAAAGCTCCTTCAGCAAGCGCAAGTTCTTGCATTTTCGCTGCAACCTCTGGTGCACCCTCTTCGATAATCGCTCTCATGATTAAACCTGCACCTTTGACAATGGCCAGTGATGGATGTTGAAACAATTTGAAAAGGGACCTGCCTCTTGAGGCAACCATTTCTAGAAGATTATCGAAATGTTTGCCATCAGTTGTTTCGCTATATGGTACACACAAGGCAAAAGTCAGAAGATCAAGCATGGCAGAAACTACCAGAGCACCTGTACCATGGTTCTAAAATATATAAAAGTACACAGTATAATAATTACTAACATGTTTTTAAGGCAGCGATAATAAATGTAGCCCTTTCATACTTACAACATGGATCACCCACATATCAAGTAAACTTTCCAAGAACTTGTTACTGCTGAGAAGGCTGCTCTTATTTAATTGTTCTTGTCTTAAATCACAATCGTCGTGCATTGGCTGCATTAGAGCGCAGATGCAATCTATAGCAGCCTGTGTCACAGCATAATCTTGTCTTTTTAAAGCTTTTACAACTTTATGGCCAATTGCTTCTCTGAATCCGGGAAGTGTTGTAAATGCAGTGAAACCAATTTTACTGGCGACTAGTCTTCTTAAAACATGAAACTGCGCCTCTATTTCACTATTCAGTTCTAAATCTTTATTCACCACCGCATTTAAAGCACTGAGGATAATTTTATCTTTATTTTCAGTAAAAAGACCCTGTAAGTAGTTTAGGATCACATGATTTAATTGGAGTTGTAATGTTGTTACAGTCCATTCAAGCGGTGTAACATCCTAGACAAAAAAGAAAGTGTACATTCAATTCACAATGAAATTTATTCTTTGATATGTGGCATATTTGTATTGTTACAAATTTCAATTTAAATTAAAGAACTGGGACTTCTATCCTGTAAATGTATTTCAATTTATTGTTGTCATTCATTACCGCTTCAATGTACTGTATCAATATGCACGTTTACATATCGACAAGTATGCATACTAAATCAAGGGAGTTAAAATCATAGCGGTGTACGTCACATTTAAGTCAAAATTTTCAGAAATGTAACTTACACCACTATAACTTTACACCCTTAGTTAATTTTATTTATTTTTAACACTGTAGACACATAATAAACGAATGAAAATGCATAAGCAATCTTACATCTTGGGTCACAGAATAATTCAAACCACTGTAGGGAATGTTTGCATTAAATCTTTCCAGAATTTCATGAAATGTACGTCCACTAGGCGGTTGGTGCAGAAATTTAACGTGAGATGTTTCAACTTCCTCATCTACCGGCAAATTGAAAGATCCAAGTCTTTTTCCTCTCGGTACCGGATGCATTCTAACATGCACGTCTCTGTTACCAGATGCTCTAACACCGTCTAATAATGACGCCAGTAAAGAATCCCTATCAGTCGCTGTGTAACTGCGTGTTTGGCTATTAAGATATTGTATGGTAAATAGTTGTGGATTTTCATTATCACGGATTAACGCAAAAATGTCCGACAAAGGTCTAAGAGTGCAGACATTGTATGTCTGAGGATCTCTCTCCAATAAGCAGGTATCAGAAAGACAAAGAGTTCTTCTTTGTGGATCTATATGTCTTGATGAATATTTGTGAACAGTAAACTCTGAAACACTCGTTATATGGTCATCTCCACTAAATTTACCCAATCTTTGTGCAACGAAATCGTCTAATTTGATTGGTTCTTTCAAAACTTTTATGGTGATACCTAAATTGTTCATGGCTGATTCGTGCAGCTTTTTTTTAATTTCTTCCATGTGTTGAGAGGCAAACAGATGCAAACGTCCAAATCCACCACATACGATGACAAATCCATTAGGGTAGTCTTTCATTGTAGCAATCCCTTCAAAATCTTTGTAATAATAACTTGCTAATACCATATTGGTTGCTGGATCTAATTGGTCAAGACTGTATGGTGTTACTTCTAATACAACGGGTAATCTTGTATCAGACCAATGGTGTTTGTAAGCTTGGTATCTCTGCGGTAAAAAGGATACAATTAAAAATCATATTGCTATTTAATAAAATACCTAACAATATAAAGAAATTAGTTAGTCTTAGCCCATTGATGATGTAATGCAGAACAGTTTAATCAAAGTGTTACTGCCATATGGCTAGATTGATAACATGCCTGGTTAAATATCAGTTCTAAAACTAATAAATGCCATACAAAATATATGTAACTCACTAGAATTTCTTTAGGTTTTTCAACAAATTGGTTCCTATATTTTAGAGCCTCAGTTAACAAGTCAGCTCTGTATTCTGAACTAAATTTCATATTGTCAACCTTGCGATCTTTGCGCATTGTGATACTAAATTCATGTGAGCCTAATTGATTTCTGTTTGCTGGTTGCACACTAATAAAATCTGAGTATTCCCATTTGTTCGTTACTTCCAATGTAGTAGGATTATATGTTGTTATACCCATGGATCCAATTGAGAAAATACGTTTGTACCTATAGTATAAAACACAAATATTATTTCTGTCTGGTTAGTGCACTTTCTTCTGGTGCATTAACACAACACACTATTTTTGGCAATATTTGATGGTATTAACAGTAGCATATATTTTACAAATATTTATATAAACATACAGAGACATAAAACAAATTTCTATCATATATTTAAAATATTAACTACAGAATTTTAACATTCTATTGCTTACTCATAAGTTTAAAAAATTAATGACGAACTCGTTTGTCATTAGTCAATTAACTAATAATATTAGTAAGGTATATTATTTTTAAATGCCATTGAAATGTCAAACAAGGAAAGACACAACAAATTATTCTCTGGTATGAATAATTCGTTAAATGTAGTTGCCTCTATATAGTATTCATCTTTTTGCTGACTATAAATTTAATCGCGAGGTAATGTATAATCAGCGAAAGTTTTAACGCGGTGTAATGTTCGCGCGAACGTATACTTACTTTCCCTTCCATGAGTGTTTGGTGACCAAAAAACACGCCACATCCTGGTTATCCTTTATCGGCATCATTGTAACATGTCCTGACAATGCGATACGTGTATTATCTCGAATAATGTCTGAACAAAACACTGGTTACTATCTGTAAAAGACAAGTAGCGTAGGAGGGACATTCGCAGAAGGGAATCACACGACAGTCATCTCTGAAACGGTGTATACAGGCAACGTGAAATATAATTGAATTGCGTGTGCGATATTTACGCTCGTCGTACAAACGGAGGATATTTAGGCACTGTTTGATCGCATTTTACCCAACAAATGTCATTTTCAACGGCTCCATCGGACTGGGAGCGGCCATGATGCTCGGGGGTGTTAACAAACAGCTGTTTCCAGATGGCAGAGCAGTCAGAATAGAAAACTTGATTCGTTTATGTCATGGAGTATGTTTGTTGAGACGGTACACTTACGTTTCGATTCCTAACCAATTTTCAGTGGACATTAGGATGGACCAGAGCTCTGAGATGCCTGGCCGCTTTACGATTCTTTTCCAGGGATTTCTATTAACAATCCATTGTAATCGTCTAATCCCATTTGTGAGGTTTCCTCTTCGCCATTTGGAACAGATTCCGAGCAGAATCCTTGGCTCCATTGGCATCTGGTCTTGAGTAGAAATTTCAAGAACGGTTAGGCGCCTAAGAGCTCTGGAGTGGGCTAGAGTTTGGCATTGTTCGAATAAATTTTTCGAATAAAATTTAATTTGAGAAATATTTTGAATAAAACTTTATTTCAGAAATATTTCGACTAAATTCTTAAATACAGCCTCAAAGCTCTATATATGTGTAGAATTAAACTTTGTGCTCAACTTCTTCTACACTAACTTCTATCTAAACTTCTGCTCTTTATTTATTTTCTAAACTCTAAAATAGATAAACACAGATGGTTTTCTATCATATACATTTCAAATATTGCCGCGCTTTTCGACGTCTCGAATCTCAGATTACAGATGCGGCAACAGTGTTCGCATATAGGTTCTAAATCTTGGGGTCATGGAATTCAAAAGTTTCGGCGGGAGTTTCGACTCTATTTAACAAGAATGCTTTGTGGTTTATGTACAATATATGTAATTATGTAGTACGTAAATATAAAGCTTCTGTTTTTCCCGCTTGTTTATGTAATAAGCTTTTTATGAAGTGTTTAATTAACTTCGTTAACCTTCGTAAAGAAGAGAATATACATTTTGAAGAACAGAGCAAAAGGTAGGAATTCACAGTATTAAAAAAGAGATTAAATGAGATGAACGGTTCTTAATTATTTACGATTTGTATAATGACAAGCATATAATTCAAAACGTAAACTTTGTAGTGACATTTATACATTTTATGCATTTTGTAATGAATAAAAGCACGAATATGAAAGATGTAATATGATTCTGGCTTGGTTTTAATTTTAATTTGGTTGATCACTCGAAATGAGAACGAAGCTTACTATTTTATCCTAAACAAATGTCAATGCTATTTCTGAAATTCTA